GGGGGGCAGATCCACCATTTATACAAAATTTGTTCCCCTTCCCCCAAGGATGCTTCTGACTAAATTTGGTCAAAATCTGCTCAGTCATTCATGACTAGTAGCGTTTTAAAGGAAAAGTTGATGGACGGACGACGGACGCTGCGGTATGGCATAAGCTCACCATGGTCCTTTGGAACAGATGAACTTAAAAAGGAAATATTTTTCTAGCCTTAATCCATGATAAAACTCCATCAAACTGTCATTTCATTAAAATGACACACATGTGAAGATGAAGCTATCTCAGAGCAAAATATATACATATTTGCTTACTTCAAATACTTCACATTTCTTCATGTATGTAGGTTTAATTAATCATTCCTATCAATGCATATCTACATGTAGTGAGCCTTAACTGCCATACTATGACTACAGAACATCACCCCACCCTTATATATATCGCCAATCCAGTCCTTGGGAAGGGGCCACCATGTTATAAGACTTTTATCTGAGAAGATTTGAGCATTACATATTATGATGAAAGTTTTAATCTAGACATCCATCAGAAAATATATTCTATTTCTACAATGTGAGATCACACATCAACAGACTTTTAAACTAATTTCTAAAAAGACTTTCTGAAGTATGACAGATATTTTATTTATTCTGCGCTCTAAAGTAGTCGGCATTCCCAGGTTCACTGAGGATATAATGCTTCCTAGCTCACATTCCCAGGTTCACTGAGGATATAATGTTTCCTAGTTCACATTGCCAGTTCACTGAGGATATAATGCTTCCTAGTTCACATTGCCAGGCTCACTGAGGATATAATGCTTCCTAGTTCACGTTGCCAGGCTCACTGAGGATATAATGCTTCCTAGTTCGAATTCCCAGGCTCACTGAGGATATAGTGCTTCCTAGTTCACATTCCCCAGCTCACTGAGGATATAATGCTCTTCCTAGTTCACATTGCCAGGGTCACTGAGGATATAATGCTTCCTTGTTCACATTCCCCGGCTCACTGAGGATATAGGATATAATGCTTCCTAGTTCATATTCCCAGGCTCACTGAGTATATAATTCTTCCTAGTTCACATTCCCAGGTTCACTGAGGATATAATGGTTCCTAGTTCACATTGTTTGGTTCACTGAAGATATAATGCTTCCTCGTTCACATTCCAAGGTTCACTGAGGATATAAGTCTTCCTAGTTCACACTACCAGGGTCACTGAGGATATAATGCTCTTCCTAGTTCACATTGCCAGATTCACTGAAGATATAATGATTCCTAGTTCACATTCCCCGGCTCACTGAGGATATAGGATATAATGCTTCCTAGTTTACATTCCCCGGCTCACTGAGGATATAGGATATAATGCTTCCTAGTTAACCTTGCCAGTTCACTGAGGATATAATGCTTTCTAGTTTACATTCCCAGGTTCACTGAGGAGATAGTGCTTCCTAGTTCACATAGCCAGGTTCACTGAGGATATAATGTTTCCTAGTTCACATTGCCAGTTCACTGAGGATATAATGCTTCCCAGTTCACATTGTCTGGTTCACCGAAGATATAATGCTTCCTAGTTCAAATTCCCCGGCTCACTGAGGATAGAATGCTTCCTAGTTTACATTTCCAGGTTCACTGAGGATATAATCCTTCCTAGTTCATACTCGCAGGTTCACTGAGGATATAATCCTTCCTAGTTCATACTCGCAGGTTCACTGAGGATATAATGTTTCCTAGTTCACATTGCCAGTTCACTGAGGATATAATGCTTTCTAGTTTACATTCCCAGGTTCACTGAGGAGATAGTGCTTCCTAGTTCACATAGCCAGGTTCACTGAGGATATAATCCTTCCTAGTTCACATTCCCAGATTCACTGAGGATATAATGCTTTCCTAGTTCACACTCCCAGATTCACTGAGGTTATAATGCTTCCTAGTTCACAGTGCCAGTTCACTGAGGATATAATGCTTCCCAGTTCACATTGTCTGGTTCACTGAAGATATAATGCTTCCTAGTTCAGATTGTTTGGTTCACTGAAGATATAATGCTTCCTCGTTCACATTCCAAGGTTCACTGAGGATATAATGTTTCCTAGTTCACATTGCCAGTTCACTGAGGATATAATGCTTCCTTGTTCACATTCGCAGGCTCACTGAGGATATAATGCCTCCTAGTTCATATTCCCAGGTTCGCTGAGGATATAATGCTTTCTAGTTTACATTCCCAGGTTCACTGAGGAGATAGTGCTTCCTAGTTCACATAGCCAGGCTCACTGAGGATATAATGCTTCCCAGTTCACATTGTCTGGTTCACGGAAGATATAATGCTTCCTAGTTCAAATTCCCCGGCTCACTGAGGATAAAGGATATAATGCTTCCTAGTTCAAATTCCCCGGCTCACTGAGGATAGAATGCTTCCTAGTTTACATTTCCAGGTTCACTGAGGATATAATTCTTTGTAGTTCATACTCGCAGGTTCACTGAGGATATAATTCTTCCTAGTTCACATTCCCAGATTCACTGAGGATATAATGCTTCCCAGTTCACATTGTCTGGTTCACGGAAGATATAATGCTTCCTAGTTCAGATTGTTTGGTTCACTGAAGATATAATGCTTCCTAGTTCAAATTCCCCGGCTCACTGAGGATAAAGGATATAATGCTTCCTAGTTCACGTTCCCAGGTTCACTGAGGATATAATGGTTCCTAGTTCACATTGTTTGGTTCACTGAAGATATAATGCTTCCTAGTTCAGATTGTTTGGTTCACTGAAGATATAATGCTTCCTAGTTCACATTCCCCGGCTCACTGAGGATATAATGCTTCCTAGTTTACATTACCAGGTTCACTGAGGATATAATGCTTCCTAGCTCACATTCCCTGGCTCACTGAGGATATAATGCTTCCTAGTTCACATTGCCAGGTTCACTGAGGATATAATGCTTCCTAGTTCACATTGTTTGGTTCACTGAAGATATAATGCTTCCTAGTTCACATTCCCAGGTTCACTGAGGATATAATGCTTCCTAGTTCATACTCGCAGGTTCACTGAGGATATAATGCTTCCTAGTTCACATTGTCTGGTTCACTGAAGATATAATGCTTCCTAGTTCACATTCACAGGTTCACTGAGGATATAATGCTTCCTAGTTCACACTCACCAGGTTCACTGAGGATATAATGCTTCCTAGTTTACATTCCCCGGCTCACTGAGGATATAATGCTTCCTAGTTCATTATTGATCTGATTCTGTACTTCCTACAGTTTACATTCCCAGGTTCACTGAGGATATAATGCTTCCTAGTTTACATTCCCCGGCTCACTGAGGATATAATGCTTCCTAGTTCATTATTGATCTGATTCTGTATACCATGCAATATTTCCGAGTTTTCTAACTATATTTATTTATACTAAATTTCAGGTCAAATAGTTTGACACCCTGATTAATTGTAGATGTATTAACCAGACTCAACCGTATGCATATATAAGTTGCCACAGATAGTATACTTCATCATCTGTCAAACTGTTTTACGTCAAAATCTTTCCATTGACCTTACACATTTGTGACCTTGACCTTAAACTGTAATTGTCAGTTAAGTCTCCTGAAACCTAATTTAACAAGTAGAATGTGATTTAAATTTTAACTTCATCATTTGGTTTCATTTACTTCAGGACGTCATCAGAGACTGGAGGTAGTCTGGAGAAGAACACTTACCTGAGGACAGACCAATGGTGGACACTGTATGGGGTAGCACGTTGTCTGCCCGTCCCGACACACACACTTAGCACATGGAATTGGTTCCCACTCTGACCCATCCTGGTGTCTTTCTCCATCGTAAGAGCATGAACCTGTAAACACAGACATTGTTAAAACGTGAACCTATAAACACAGACATTGTATGAACATGAACCTGTAAACACAGACATTGTATGAACATGAATCTGTAAACACAGATATTGTATGAACATGAACCTGTAAACACAGACAATGTATGAACATGAACCTGTAAACACAGACATTGTATGAACATAAGCATGTAAACACAGACATTGTATGAACATGAACCTGGAAACACAGACATTGTATGAACATGAACCTGTAAACACAAATACTGTATGAACATGAACCTATAAACACAGACATTGTATGAACATGAACCTGGAAACACAGACATTGTATGAACATGAACCTGTAAACCCAGACATTGTATGAACATGAACCTGTAAACACATACATTGTATGAACATGAATCTGTAAACACAGATATTGTATGAACATGAACCTGTAAACACAGACATTGTATGAACATGAACCTGTAAACACAAATATTGTATGAACATGAACCTATAAACACAGACATTGTATGAACATGAACCTGTAAACACAGACATTGTATGAACATTAGCCTGTAAACACAAATATTGAAAATGATTATCGTGTTCTCTCCCATTCAAACAGTAACATTTACAAGCAAGACCGATATGTTTATACACAGGGGACATGTTATATTAAAATGGGTAGACTAAACTTCTATAATGGTCACAACATGGATAGGTTGAATAGGGAGACTGAACTTCTATAATGGTCACGACATGGATAGGTTGAATAGGGATACAACACATACTCTATGCACTTTACAGACACTTCAGATAAAGAGTATCACTGCACGAGATATAATTACAAAGAAGAGTTTCACTTCACAATTATTTCCTTTGTAAATAGACGATAAAGCAACCAAAAGGAGATGTTTTGGTTAAAGTTACCTCCCTTAGTATTCCTCTTTTATTATGATACTGTTCATTCACATTTACAATAATACTATATTCAAACTTGATGATTCTCATTACATTTATAACATTCTTTGTTCATTCCCTTTCCTCCTTAACTCTTCAAAAAGAACTTATCATCTGGAAGCGTTAGTTTCAAATATCATTATTGTTTCTTAGAATATCACTGTTTTCTTTTCTATATATATATAATTCAATTACTTCATGACTGTAATAATTTCTCTTATGCCCTGTAGAAATAATTCCAGTGTTGTAAATTTTGCTTTTGATTTATCTTAAATGACAAAAACCGACATCACGATTCTCTAGTTGTAGGCACGCTCACCACTTCACTGAGACAGATTTTTGCCATCTGTCATCCTCTAGTTCACCTAATCTTTGCCTTACGCAGCACATAAATATTTTTTCATAATTATTTATTATGCCTAAAATGATAATCATACATAGCAATGAGTAGTCACCTATATGATAAATTGTTGGTTTTATGACTTTTTTCAATTTTCTATTTGTCAGCACAGAGTATTATGACACAAGTTAAATTGATGATGAAGAATGACAAGGGCAGCGTAAATATGAAGGATTTATGGCTTTGTCAATGTAAACTAGTGTGGTGTTCATATCCTTGGTTACACAATGAATAGTATACTATTGTAACGCACCAAAGGTTTGTGTGTTGCATTCCGCTACCCGAGTAATCTGTGAGTACGTACTGTTTGGTACACTATGATTTCATCCCTTTGTCACAGTAAGTGATCTGTGAGTACATACTGTTTGTTACACTATGATTTCATCCCTTTGTCACAGTAAGTGATCTGTGAGTACGTACTGTTTGTTACACTATGATTTCATCCCTTTGTCACAGTAAGTGATCTGTGAGTACGTACTGTTTGTTACACTATGATTTCATCCCTTTGTCACAGTAATAGTCAACTACTGGACAGATAGGAACAGCGTACTTAATAATTACAAATAATTCTATTTGTGGTTATGTGTCTGTAACAATTACTCATGAGGTAGGCTAATAAGTACACAGCTGATTATGTCAGTGCTAATTAGTGTAAATCTGGAAAAATAATCCAGATTTTTTTGGAATTTCTCATTTCTTTGTTTTACTTTTTTTCATTGCTTGTATGATATATATATAAATCGAATTTAGAATTATGTGGATTAAAATGATGTTTATACACACGAAGACTGTAATAAACAGGGACAAATACATCACGAACAGATACATCACGAACAGAATACTATTTAGTGACATTAACTAATAAACTTACTTCACTTTTTATCTCCAGCTTTTCAAAGAAAACAGAGGATACCATCTTAAATGGCATGTTTCAGACTAAATATGATTGTCAGTGTGATGATCGAGTGAATAATTATGTATAATTAATTAGTATAATTTAGTATAATTAATTAGGGTACAGAATTCTGATTGGTTCATTAGTTTCCTGGCAATACCTGCCCTAAATTACATCACTTGCAAGAATTAATTGCCCACATACATAAAGTCTAAACGTGTCATCAAACTCTACAGTGACTTTACAGTATTTGTTATCAAATACACTGGATGTGGTTACTCTCAACAATACAGTACTGTAACTTAATAATTTACTTAGTGAAGTGTTATATATATATATACACACATATGTATAATCTCAAAATCTTCACATCCAAAAATTATCTCAATTATAAGAAGGAAAAAACACTATTCAATTTTAACTACAAACATAACAAGAGGCCCATGGGCCTTAACGGTCACCTGAGTTTATAGTATTTATTTTTGTTGTTGAAATATGCACCAATTTGAGTAAAAAATAGTATAATGTTAACTTAACTTTGTCAGGACCATGAGGCGATCATGCCTACCAACTTTCAGTTCAATCGGCCCAGCAGAACTTGACTTTAAGTTTGAAATGTAAAATGTTAACGGACTACGGACGACGGACGACGGACGCCGGACGACGACGGACGAAAACGGATAGCAATAGGTCACTTGAGCTAAAGCTCAGGTGACCTAAAAATTAATGACAGGTCAGAAAAATCAGACTTTTACACGCTTAGCCAGTCTGGTATATGAACATAAAAACCAGAAAATTAGAAGCCATTCACAAGTTTTTGATATTGCTAGGGTAATCATTGTGTGTGGGTATACCACCACCGATAGGTAGGGCAAGTCAGTGACTGTACCAATCACACAGAGAGATAAACACCCAAATCATTGTGTGTGGGTACCACCTATAAGGTAGGCCAGTGACTGTACCAATCACACACAGAGCTAAACACCCAAATCATTGTGTGTGGGTACCACCTATAAGGTAGGCCAGTGACTGTACCAATCACACACAGAGCTAAACACCCAAATCNTACCACCACCTATAGGTAGGGCAAGTCAGTGACTGTACCAATCACACATAGAGCTGAACACCCAAATTGCTGAAATTACATGGAACACTACTTCTCAATCAACTTCCTGTCCTACAAAGGTATTGATAAAGGTTTCTAGCCACTGGTGAAACAGATGTCACAGTAGACCAGAAGATACATTTCTCAGTAAAATTCTCCAGAAAGTAAAATATTTCAGCTCTGCTTTTTACAGTGTAAAATACTTCAGCACTGCCTGAGACACAGTAAAATACTTCAGCAATGCCTGAGACACAGTAAAATACTTCAGCACTGCCTGAGACATAGTTTGGTTTACTGGAGTATTTGTATAATTATATTAAATAATTTTGATTATGTGAAATTTGTTAATATTTGAAGCTTTATTTGTAACAATATCTATGCCAATCTGTTAACAAAGTATGTGACAGGAACTCGTGTGTAAAGAAACTTAAAACAGATTATTTGTTGTCGAGCATAATATGTAAATCACTGATCACATAACACAAATAGAAAACATATGACCTTAATTACACCCTTCCCCATCATCCTTCTTTTCCCATAAAATATTTCTAACTTTTAGGTATTATCTTTCAAACAAGACTTATTTTGTGTAAATAGACTCATGCTTGGTGTTATAAGTCGATCACATTTACAACTGTTAAGTATAGTGTATATATTATCAATTCAAATTTAATTGATTCCCTCAGCCCAGGGATGTGCGCTATGTCAAATAAGGTCACTATCCCTTCAGTCATACTGCAGGAATAGTCTTTTGTCTATATTTACTTTGTGGGCTCCATCCCCAGGAGGCCCCATCCCCGGGAGGCCCCATCCCCAGGAGGCTCCATCCCCAGGAGGCCCCATCCCTTATTTACACAATATAGTGCACTCCCTTGGACCAGCTGGGATGAATCTCTTTCCCAAAATTGAGTCAAAATTCTTTCAGTCATCCTGGAAAAGTATTTCTTTAAAGGAAAAACTGACAACAGATCAAACCACATTTCAGCAAAAGCTCACTTGGATGTTCAGGCCAGGTGAGCTAAATACAACAGTCTGAAAATGCTAGCATTATTCCTCAAATACAAATTTACACCACATTTGACTTTATAGTGTGTATTAGACAACTAGGATGTAAGTTTTATGTTGTGAAACACTTGCATGTATCCTATGTCTCCTTTTTTATTTAAGGTGACACAAATCTTAGCCTTCTGATGACAACAGCTGATAAAAGTGTCGCAAGAGTTTAACAAAAACTAGGCTGGGTGAAAATAAAGTCATAATTTATAATCACTACTTTGATGAAATGTGGAGATATTCATTTTGTCAAGTGTGGTTTGGTAATACACAGGAGTTTAGAATATCAAGTAGTTTTTACTACCCTTTGTCGTCAACATGATATATAAGGTATGATAGGCCACAGGTATATTATGTAGGCCAAACACATTGTATACAAAGTGCCAGCTTGCAAATATTTTGCCACCGAAAAATCAAGATATAAATTCATGACTAAAGTGTTTATTAAGATATAATTTTTTGAGAAATTACTGCCAAGTTTAGTTAACATAACATGCCTCAGATTAAATGGTGGAAATTGTCAAAATAATAGAAACCTTAGTATTTGTATATATATACAAATGAACTCCATTTTGAGGTTAAAACAATATACAATTCATGGAAATATTCAATATGATTTTGAGGTAGGTAGAT